CCACGTGGGGTGCAAGTGTTTCCCCGAGCGCCGCCGCGGTGGCCGCCGGCGGGGTAGGACGGGGACGGCGAGGCCAGGCCGGGGCACGTAGGGCACCAGGACGCAGGGAGGAGGAGACGCCGAACGAGGAGATGAAAGGCCGGAAAGGTGAGCGCCTGGAGAGAACGGTCGAGAGCACCGACGAGGGCGCCGGCGACGGGCCAGCCGGTGCAGGGGAAGGCGAGGCCGGAGCAGCGGGCTTCCAGGAGGAGCGCGCGGAGCCGCGGTCGGCGCGGTCGGCGACACCCCAGCCGCCGGCGCGGCGACTCCGGGGGGGAGCCCCAGACCCCAAGGCGGCACCTTTCACCCTCGCCGGAAAGGACGAACCCGCAGGCCGGCGGCGGCGCCGATCAACGCCGCGGGCGGCCGAACTCCCACCCCTGGGAGTAAGGCCACCGGCAAGGTCGAGCTGCGGCATCCGGACCAGAGCCTTGGGGGGAACGCGGTCCCGGCACACGACGGGGCGCCCCGCGGCGACGTCGTCGGCCTCGGCGAGGTCCGGCCAGAGCACGCGCGACGGGCCAGCGGGGGGAGTCGACAGCGGGGCAGGCGAGGAGGGCACCAGCGGGCGGGCCACGCCCGAGGAAGGGGACGGGGACAGGCGCGACGGCGGAGCCGCCGGATCGCCATCGGCGTTGCCAGAGCCCACTGGAGTTTCCATCTCCTTCCCAAGTTTTCCGTCCATCGACATATGTCGTTCATGTCTCAAGTTGAAGATATTGGAGTAACGGAGAATGAGTTTGCGACAAACCTTGTTTCATATGTTGAAGATATTGGAGTAACCTTTGTCCTTTGAGCGTATTGTGGCCTTGGAGAATGTAAAAGAAATGTTGAACGGATTGATGTGACCCCCCTAAACAGACTTGAATTGTTCAGCGAAGGGCAGCGACTAAACGTAGTCATGTACATTCAGTAAGGCGATATGGTCTTTGCTATTTTGCATTCAAGCATAGTGATGGAATTTCGTCGAAAATAAGTTTAAGCATGATAGTTAATTCCATTCCGAAAGAATGACCTGACACACCTGAACATAATAAAAACATTTGGTCATAGCTATCCAGTTTTGTTCATCTATGTGTACATTTCCTTTTGTCAAATTGGAGGATGTCATCACAAAACCTATAAAATACTGATTCTCAAAAAAAACCCTATAAAATACTATTTTTAGCGTAATCGTCCTTGAATGTTCGAATGACAAGATTGGTGTAGAACAACTAAACTAAAATTTTTAGTTCCCATTGCAACGCATGGGCAATTTCCTAGTTTAGATAAAAGAAAGTCAGATTTGGTTGCTCACCGTTCGATCCACGATCCAGCGGCTGAGGAGCTCCCGTATCGTGGGAGCATGGGAGGGCTGGACGCACTTGATTGATGCCGCCCATGCGAGACCCGAGCGGCTGCACTAGTAGGGTTGCCGCCGCCCCCGCCCCGTCCCCGTCCTCCTGCTGCGACCCGCTTCTCCCCCCAAACTTCTTCTTTCGGCGGCAACTTGTCGGCACACGCTGCTCCTTCTCCTCCTCCGACCCCGGCGGTACTGCTGCTCCCTCGCCTCCGACCCCTCCTCCGCACGCGCTGCACCGGTCGAGGTTGACGCCCTCCCCAAGTTCTGCTCCGACCAGCTCCTCGACGTCGCATCTACCCTGCCGAAATCTGGGCCTGCACCGACCAGGTCCTCCCCCAAGCTCCCCCATGCCACAGAAAGGTATTGACCCTTTGTTTTTTCTCTTCGTATGAACAAGCGGTGTCTTTTGTTTTTTTTTCTTTTGAGAAAAAACGGTGTCTTTTGGTGTAGATGGGCGGATCTGGGTTCGGCCTGGGGCGCAGCCCACTTCCAAGCCCAAGCAGCCCGGCTAACTGGCCCCATCTCGCCCAGCGCCCAGGCCATCGCTGCCTGCTTCCTGTCCGCACGAACTGAACGAACGAAAGCAGCCGCTGAGCCGCCCCTTCTTCCCCCAGACTTGGACAAACCCTAGGCGACCAGGACCAGCCGTCCGCCGGCGCCGCCCGCCAACGCCACCTGCCGTCGCGCCGGTCGAGCCTATCCAGCCGCCCCACCCCCCCTCCCCCCTCCAGTCCGTTGCCCGCCCCTTCGATCACTTCTGCGGTCGTGCGGGCGTCAGGTTGCGCCGCTGTCGCGCTGCGGGCTGCTGCTCCGTCCGGCGAGGCGCGGAGGCGGCGACTCCGGCGAGGCTTGGCGTCCGCGAGGTGCTCGATCCCTTCTTCCTGGCGTCGGGCGAGGTGCTGGTTTGCCAGGAGCCGAGCCGCAACACAGAGCAGAGCAGAGAGGTATTGCTTAATGCTTTGATGCGTTTGTTTTGTTTTCTAGATGTCACTGTTTGATGATGATTTTCATTGCTAGATGCCACTGTTTGTTAGATGTGGAAACCTATTTAGACATTTAGTAATTTTGTTTCTTTAAAATGTTACGGGAAGGCAAGATGAGTACATGAAAAAAGACATTCAATTCATTTTTTCAAGTTCATTGAGCGATTTTAAGGTTATCGCAATCGCAGATGCCTTTTGCCTCGTCCTAAACATAAGTTCTCAAATTTTGCATCTAGGCTAATTTTTGAATTAAATAAAAAGCCCTTTTAACTCAGTGGTAGAGTAATGCCATGGTGTAAGGCATAAGTCATCGGTTCAAATCCAATAAAGGGAAAGGTTGAGAAATAGAACCATCTGATTTGATTCGTTCCCAATAGCCATGAGATAATCATCTTAGGGTGATCCTTTTGTCAAAGGATGCTCCTATTACACTCGTAGTCTCTGAAGGATGAGAACCCCCACCGTTATTTCAAAACTGTACATGAAACCTTAGCTTCATACGGCTTCTCTATGATCAGAAAAAGGAAATGACTGTTTTGTTCCTAGCCCCTGGGGTGTAGATAGAATTAGATAAAATAAAATAGATTTGAAAGTCCTGAATTAGACCTATTATTAACTCTTTTTACCTGTTATATTATTACACCGATTTGCATTTCAAAATTTATCATTCAAGGTTTAGCATCTTCTGCTATTGAAGATGTAGTCATGGGAGGCTCAGATCAACTAATCCTTTGATTTGGTGGTATCAATCTTTTGTATCATTTATATACGCTACATATTGTCTTTTGACTTATCTTGCTTTATTAGTTGACCCATCATGGAACAAATATTGCCGTTGAATATTATGTTTGGCGTATTATTAGTTGTGCAATATAGATTCACTTTCGTATGCCTTGAAACTAGAATTTTTTTAGGGTAGTTTTTAGCCCTTTCTTGCCTAGGGCGTCAGCCAATCCTGGCTCCGCCACTAACAGCCAATGTATTTTCTAGCGCACCGCTGATGATGCACGAACAACAAATGTTATGTTTTGTTGGGTATTTTGTTTGCTAATAATTCGCGCATTACACCATTTCCATTTAAATCATCTGAAAGAATATGCCGTAGCTCAAAATCCAGTGAAACACGCTAAATCAGGCTATTATCATTATCAGTACATAAACAGGCTTCCAACATTTTACTCGCCACATTAGTGTCCATCTCAATATTCACCCATGCTAAATTGTGACGCCAACATCCACCTCAGTGAGCTTTACCAGAGTGAGAAAATTGTGTTAGTTTAAGAACCGTAACCGCTGACCACGAGTTGAGGGAGCCAACTGAGAAAGTCAGTGATAGCTTAGAAAGTTAGTTTAAGCTACCGTTGAGGATATTCTCCTTGGTTCTTGCTTATTATTTTCCAGGCAATGAAAAGTGTAGAAACAAATTCTTGTGCCATATACAGTTTGCATGTCAGTATAACATTTTGTAGATTTCCTTAAAATAGTTTTTTTTATGACAAAGTTGCCATACATAAAGCATAAGTATGACAGTTGAATGTGGAAAATGAGAAACAAAACTGCAAATAGCACCTGCATATGTGACTCGGTAGGATACAATGCTCGACACTCAACAGCTATTAGTCATTTTCACTTGCTTACTTTAAATTGTGAAAGGGTTCTGCCGGTCTGCCCAGAGCTACAGATGCTTCCCTGAACATTATATGCTTATCCTAAGAGATAACTTGTCCCAGACATACTGTGCTACTTCTAGTTAATTGGTCTGATCTGTGGTGGATGGTTGTTACTTGACAGGTGAGGTCACAACCATCATTCTGGTGCGCCACAGTTATTTGTTCTTTGCTCTATGAACAACATGTAATAGGCAAGTCTTTGGCTCACAGATGCCACTGAGATGAAGACTTGACCCTTTTTTCCTTAGATACACTAAGACAAAATTAGAGCTCTACTCAGGACTTGAGGTTCGAGCAGCTCATGAGCTTCCAGTATGTTGTATAACATTGGTTGACATGTGCTTGAATATGTACTCATATGGGTCCACGGTGGACTAGAGGTTTGGCGGGCATTTATATCTTTAAAGAATGCTGTGTCATGATTCTAGTAGAAAGTATCGGTTATTCTACAAACATTATAGGATATACTGGGCTGAGGACAAAATAAATTAAAATTCACAATGTACTTGTTAGTCTGTGAATTTCTAGTTAGATTATTCTTGGGAAAATAGTAATTCTGCTTGTGATCATATTTCATCTAAAGAGCTGCTACTATCTGCTACCATTTCTCTTCAGTACTATAAGAAATATCTGAACACAGTTTCGTTCTGATATAATTGCAAAAATCTTTGTGAACCAGCAAAAGGAATGTTCCAAGTTGGGACCAGCAAACCCTATTTTCTTCATGAACTGGTTCAAGAATACATTGTAGCTTGAATCAGCAAAAGACAAGAGTAAAACTTTGCCAAGCTTACTTGATAGTTTAGTCTTGTGATAGTAACTTAATCCTAATAGTTATGATCTGTTTTGTTTGTAGAACTTGGGTGGTATTATTTTGTACACTACGTACATAAGTAACATTTTATTTCTTCAGGTTCTTATACAGCTACTTTGTTACAGTTAATACAGATAACATTATCTTTTACCATGGCTAGTGCGGAGGATGTGAAGCAGCGGCAGGTTGTTGAAGACCGTGCAAGAAATATTAGCCACAATGTACGGTGCACTGAGTGTGGCAGCCAGTCCATTGAAGATTCGCAAGCAGATGTTGCAGTTCTCCTTAGAAGGGTACTTTTCGTTCTATAACCTCGTGATGATTGGTTGCCTGACCTTGTTGGTTCAGTTAGTGGTCAAACTTTTAGTAGCAGAGATTTGCTTATTCCTGTATACCTTTTCATGTTTCCACAACATCCAACTTTTGCTCTGTTGCTCTCTTGATCTTAACAAAACCTAACTAAGATTGGAAATTTGATAACACTTTTAACTGAGGTAACACTTGTACTTGAGACCTTGTACTGATCAATACAACAACAACAAAGCCTTTCAGTCCCAAACAAGTTGGGGTAGGCTCTAGGACTGATCAATAATGACATAAAATAAAATGTGTTCACCGGCACCCAATAGTTAAATGCAAAATAGGGTTGAGAAACTTGCAATGATATTTGCTACTATCATTTTTTTTTTGAAGAACTACAGTCTGTCTATATGTCCTTTTTGGAATGATAGAGATGGTTTTGGTAATGCCGCAACTGGTTTGGTTCTTCGATTATATACATTTGCGTCCTTTTTACTTGACTAGGTTTCTTAGACATGGATGATATTTCTGCCTATTCAGCTATATTAAATTTACATTACCTTTCGCTGTACCAGAACACTGTTTTCTGATTGACAAGCATTTATTTGCACCATGTACTACATATACATGGGAAAAAATTAATCTTGAGTTCTCAACGTCAATTAAGGCGCTTGGTTTGTATGCTTTGAAGGATCGAAATATTATTGCCTTGCACCCAATATGTCATGGGAAGCTTCACGGCCTCACGAACTGATATATGTGTCATTTTTGCAGTTAATTCGTGATGAAATAAAATCTGGAAAGAGTGATAAGGAGATATACAAAAAACTAGAAGAAGACTTTGGAGAAACAGTTCTATATGCCCCTAAATTTGATCTTCAAACTGCTGCCATATGGTTATCACCGGTGAGCCTTAATTATGATTCTTTTTCCATGCTGTTCAAGTGTCCGTGCTTTTATTATACTAGAAATATTTTCACTTGCACTTTTTTAGCCTATTATTTGTTCGTTTTATGAATGCATTGCGTGTCTTGGTGAACCCAAGCATATTCCATCATCACAAACTTTTGCGTCAAGATGTTTTTCGTAAGTACGTGGATGATTCTCTTTCATAGTTACTTGGTGAATTTGCAACCAGTGGAAGTAATATATATTTCAATTCTTAAAAAATCTAATTTCAGCTGATCCCTTGTTGTAGTTCAATGTAGTCTGTAGAGAGATAAAATGATACTGATTTGCCCTGCTTTTGTTTGTGCTTAGTAAAATTATGTTTTGCTGCAGCGGAACATGATAAAATGAAAACTTCAAAATATTGAAGTATCTATTCCCCTGAATTAGTATCATTTTATCCTGTGTAGGTGATTGTGATTTCTAGGGTAGGCAGTTGAGAGCCTGATACATTAAATCCTGTGCAGGTCATTGTGGGCGGCGTAGCAGCCGGTGTGTGGGCTTACCAAAAGCACAGGCAAAGGACCAACGTTCACATCATGGCTCTGAACCTCGTCCGAGGGGTTCCCCTGACTCCAAGGGAGAAGGAGACGATGATCGACATCCTCACGCCGCCCCTGCCGGCAAGGAGGTGGTGGTGGCCTCTCAAATGATGTTCTTCCATGTCCTTAGACGCGACACGAGTGGGTACCAATTTCCAGAGGTACAAATGTTCAGGATGGCTGGAATTCTAGCGTGTGATTTCGATGCACATCTCGCGCCCTGCTTGAAGCTTGTGCTACAGATTTTTTTGGTTTTATAACCGGATGCTTGCGATATCTTGGTGGTTTGTGATGCATGAACCTAAGTAGCTAGCAGCACATGTTGCCTTCCGTATGCGGGCTGTGAAGCTGAAAAAGAGCCTCCTGTTCAAGTGTAGTTTCTTCCCTGTTAAACTGACAAACATGAGGTGTCACTGCTGACCCTCTGTGCTAGCAGTCTAGCACAGAAGTAGAGCATTTTGTTCCCAGAATAAGCTGCAGTTTTTAATTGGATTTTCGTTATGGATTTTCCTAGTCTCTTTGATGATCGATGCCTTGTTTGTTTCATCGAACCTGCGATGTTGATCCCCCAGCTTGGCGTACTAGATGGTGCTGTCATGCAATTCTCCAAAAACAAAGAAGTTGATGCTGGCATGCATACGTAGCAGTGGCACAGATGATTACTGGAGGTTTTCTCTCTTACTACTAACTAAAGTTCATCGGAGGTTGTAAAAGAAAATCCGAGTTGAAATCTTTCAAAAATAAATAAATATTAAATTAGCTCAAATTCATGTGTTTCTTGATCTTCTAGCTACGGGGCCGCCGACATTTTCGCCCAACGACTGAACGGAACACTGTATTTTTCTTCTTCTCTGAGCTAAGAACGGAACACTGTTGTGAAGGATAAGACAGCTGGACTTCTGTCGATGGATTAACCCGGCCCGAAATATATAGATTTGGTTACAGATCAAGCTCTCGTCCTCGTAGAGATCAGAAACCACACACATGTATACAGTGCACACATTTGAACAAGTGCCACCAGCAATGTTACACAGACACAGTCACTGCCAAGAGGGGACACGCGGCAACACACTCTTTCACACACCCACAGGTGTACGGCCTGGTGGATGTATATTGTACCTCCGGGCTCCAGTCATTTATACTGCATCAATCGATTCCAGGAGGACAGATGTTGGGAGGTTTTTATTATATTTAAGATGCTTTGAACTTTTTAGATCTAGAATACCGCTAACATTTTTTTTTTGCGAAAAAAATATACCGCGAACATGATACGATTGAACGAAGCACTGTTGTGAGCGATAAGATAGCTGGAGTTCTGGCGGTGGATTAATTAACCCCCGAAATAGATTGTTTACAGAAACCACATGCACATGTATAAAGTGCACACTTTTTTTGAAGTAGTGGCAATGTTACACACAGACGCAGTCACTGCCAAGAGGGGACACGGAAACACACACTTCTACACACCGACAGGTACGTAGTACGTACGACAAGATGAGCACATGTATATACGGCTCGGTACATGTATACTATACCTCCGGGCTCTTGCCATTTGTACCGCATGCATCATCAACCCACCCCGGGACACCAGGAGGGCAGATGTTGGGAGGGTGGATTAGCAGTCGGGCGGCGTGGTGAGGCCGCACTTGGCCGGCAGCTCCATGGCGCGCTTGGGGTCGATGTTGTAGAGGCTGAGCCAGGGGGAGTTCTTGTAGGAGCAGAGGCACCGCAGGTCCGCCTTCCCCAGCGTCGCGCAGCACGCCTCCGACGGCGCCGGCTGTGGGTCCGTCGTCGCCGCCGCCGCCGGCTGGCACGCCATGAAGTCGTCGTTGTCCATGTCGCACACCGCCTGCGCCCCCACGGCGAGCGCCGCAGCGACGACGACGAGGATGGCCATCAGCGCCAGCGCCTGTCTGCTGTCGGCCATGTCTCACAAGCTAGTACACCGAGCGCTGCTGCTTGCTGCTTAGCTTAGCTAAGTGGGAGCTCGATCGGTCGGTGCTACTACTACAATAATTGCATAATTGTTGTGGTGGCTTGTGAATTGTGAGTGATGGCTGGGGCGCGGTCCTTTATACCGTGACGAGGGAATGGGAGGCTTTGCCCGTTGGGTGTTGCAACTTTGTGGTTTTAAGAAGGTGTCCTTGGCCAGTCTAGGTTCGAACCTAACTAATTTGGCCATGAGCACAACGGAATTAAGGGCTGTGCAATTCTCCGAAAGATGCGGGCCCTTGGTGCAAAACACCCTGGACGTACGTTCTCTAGCTTGGCCCGTGAAGGTTTGTTGTTGGCTTGTCCCCTGTCCCGTCACGCACACGCACCCATGTCAGCTCTGCCGCTCCCACTTGGGTTGGGATCAGGTTCACGGGAGATGGAATGGGCGGGTGCGACGCCGTGGCCGGCAGCCGGCAGGCCCACCCCGGCCGGCACTCGTGGCTCACAGCCTTTCCCGGCCGGATTTGCTGACGCGCGGCCACCGGGTTTTGTATCAGCCGCCGTTTGATTCGAGTAGCAACAGTTTGGTTTTGGTGCTAGACTGCTGGAGGTAGACGACGGTTCTGCATGCATGCTCGGTGCTCAGTCACAAGAGCTTGTCCCCAGAGGTGCCACTGCTTGCCAGTGCCAGTGACCAGCGGCAACGACACCAGGGCCTTTGGGTCTGGACGGGCTTTAGTTTTGCTAGTTTCTGAGTTGGATCAGCATCAAGAGTCCGTTTGGTAGCTTCACCGACGGATTCCACAGCTTCCGCGCCCGAAATCACTCTCACCTTTTGGTAGCTTAACCGTATGTTAGAATAAAGAGCACTGTTTTGCAAAGATCACTCTCATCTTCTTAGGTTTGTGGCAAATGCCATATTGCATGTGCATCATTTATCGCAACCTGAAGTTTTTTCCCTTTTTAGATTCGTTTATTCAAAATATTTTATCTCTTAACCGTGTGTCCAAATCTCGAACCGTTTTCACTGTTAGATTCTTCGCGTCTAGATCTCCAAAACTATTTCCAATGTTGACAGGTTTTGACGAACCTTTTTTCGCGAAAAACACCGGACGAAAAAATCAAACCAGGAGCACACGTTTTTTGTTCCTTTCCGAAAGAAGCATGATCGTGCCTCTCCCTGAAGCAAACTCGTGCCTCATGCGGTAGCAAATACGTGCCTCTCACGAAAGAAGAAAAAAAAACGTTTTTTTTCTGTTTTCGATAGGTACGGCTGTGCCTCTCGCGGAAGGGAAAAAACCATTTATTCTGTTTCTGAGAGGCTCGGCCGAGCCTCTCGTGGAAGGAAAAAAACACATTTTTTAGAAATCTCGCGGAAGCAAATATGTACCTCTCGTGGAAAGGAAAAAAACAAGTTTTTTTCCGTTTATGAGAGGCACGGCCGTGCCTTTCATGAAAGCAAATTCGTGCTTCTCGCGTAAGAAAAAAATGAAACACATTTTTTCGCGAAGTTTCTTTCCTATTTTTTGTCCAAAAGTATAAAATACCGGCGAAAAACAGAAATGCCAAAAAAGAGAGGAAAAAACCCATCTAAAAAACCGAAAATGCATGAAAAAACCCCGGATGAAGCATACAGAGCGCGGCAAGTGACGCGCTCTCAGTCCACTTCAAGTGACCCTTGAGGAGGCTCCCAAAAGAGCGCTTCTCTGTTTCGTTAGTTGCTCCCTTCATCGCCGCGACCTAAAGATCAAAGCATTCGTCTCCTCGGACGCATCGTAGGGTGGCAGTCCAGCAAACAGTCCTGGCTCAGCTTGGGTGTCTGGCAGGCCTGGTAGTGGAGAGGAAGGGTTGAGCTGCTGCGCATGATAGGCTGTTGCCCGTTCTTTTGGTACGATTTTGCAGTACACAAACTTGTACATAGAGCATTTTTCGAAGTAAAAAAAGGAACACATTATATGTAGTTTTTCTACGGATATTTTTCTCTCCAAAATTTAACAAGTTGAGATATTGAAGTAACTAACACGGTTTGGCACACGTCAGACAATAAAAGCTTCATTTCAATATATTTCCAAATAAAATCAAGCACATTTCTCTAAGCCCATGAACATAACTTCAGTAAATAAGAACAATGGCGCTAGATAGTTCATTCCTTTGTTGTTGTTGTTGTTGTTGTTCTTCTTCTTTCTTCTTATATTTTGCTTTCCTTTTTTATTTTCTATTTTTTTATAATTTATAAATTTTGGGAATATTTTTCAAAATCTGTGAACTTTTTCCAAAATTAATGACCTTTTTTTTCAACTTCAATTAACCTTTCTTTAAAATCGATGAAGTATTATATTAATTCGATGAACTTTTTAAAAAACCGACCAATTGTTTTTCATTTTATGACTTTTTTTGAAATTCGATGAATTTTTTTGAAAATTGCTGAACTTTTTTTCAAGTTTGATGAAAGTTTCTCAAATTTGATGAACTTTGTTTAAAATTGACGATTTTTTCTAATTCATTTTTTTAAACCGATGATTTTTTCAAAATCGATGAACTTTTTCAAATTTGATGAAGTTTTTTCCAAATTGTTATTTTTTAGGTTTGTGTTTTTTCAAAATCCGTGAACATTTTTGAATTCATGTATTTTTTGTGACTTTTTCTTCCTTTTCTGTTTTTTTTTAAATCACCAAACTGCGGTCG